AAAGCGCTTTGGGGTCCCTAGGCGGGACTAGTAAAAGCGCTATACAAATACAGGCCATTTACCATTTACCATATTGCAAGAAATCAATGCCAAAAATGGACCTTAGATTTTGTGTACATGCTTACACGAGGCTGCACTGACCTCTGACCTTCAGCTCCACCTTTCTGTTCAGCAGAATCTTTCCCTCCCTGCTGAAGAGGATGCAGGTGTAGGTGTTTGTGTCCCAGTCTGTGGGGTATTTCAAGGTCAGACTGAGGTCTCCAGTTTTCAGCAGGTCTTCATTAATCTCTGTTCGGTCTCTGTAAACCTTGTCCTGTTCTTCAAACTGATCAGAGCCGTTCTGATATATGTGGATCTTTCTGTATGAACCGTCTTTCCACTCCACTTTAACGTCTTTGGGCAGGTGAGCTTTGATTTCAACGGGCAGTTGAACAGACTCAATGCCTGAATCCACCTCCACTTTGGGGACTGAGAATAGAACAAAGCAGAAAATGAGCTGAACAGCCAGCAGCAGCAACACTGAGCAGCATTTTCCATTGACTGGATGCGACTCAGACAGTTTCTCTATAACTGCAGGGCTTCCTTCACTGCTGTTAGTCAGATACGGATCAACAGGTTGTGGATAGAAAGCAGATTCCTTCAGCAGAGGATCCAGATCACACTTTGACGCATGTCGTCGGGAAAACAATCAGTGAAAATGGGACACTTTGAGCCAATTTGAGCCTCAAACTCTGAACATAGATGGTGCAGAGTTATGAATGGCCCTGATTTTTGTTGGGGTTTTTATCATTTATTTTATGGCTTGCTGTACTAACTTTTTTCAATAAATTAATAAATAAATGCTCTTTAGACTCTAAGCTTTAGGAATGAAGCAGTAATACATTGTCGGAGCCTCCTCTTAGCAGGAATAAACTTTCAATTACTTTAAATCTTACAAATTGCTTATTTTAACTCGTTTCTCTTTTAATTGTTTTAAGTAACTGAAAACACCTGAAATGAACTATAAATGCACACCATATTAATTACTTTGAGCCAAATTGATCAATTCATATATATATAT